TTATCATAGTTCACTGCAACCTGAAACTCCTGCTAAAGCAATCTTCCTGCCTCAGCTTCCTGAATAGGTGGGACTATAGGCAGATACCACGATGCCCTCGTAACTTTTTAAATTTATTCTTAGAGATGGGATCTGGCTATGTTGCCCAGACTAGTCTCAAACTTTTGGCCTCCTAAATTACTGGGATTGCAGGCCTAGTCACTGAGCCCAGCCTAGAGGTTTGTTTTTTAATTTTAAATTAAAAATTTTAATTATTTGCATTATACAGAGTTCCAAGATGAAGTCCTATGAGGAGGTCTTGCATTAAAAAACAGCTCTAACTCATGCTGTATCATCTGAGATTAGTAACTTGGGAGGAGAGGAAGGAAAGCCACATTTTACCCCACAAATCTATTCTAAAGAATCTCTGCAGTGTTTCATGGTGTCAACATTGTGTATATATCAAACCAAAGTTGAAAATTTTTTTCAAGAGACAACTAACACCATCAAGGGAAGCTGAGAAAGAAGAAAACTTACAAATAAATCACTTAGCCCAAATGTCCAACATGCTCAACCTCCCTTATTCATTGAAAGAAAAGCCAAACAGGAAAAATTCAGTCTTTGCCCCACTAAATTTAAGTTGGGAAAGGACATCAATGAGGGAAGATTTTATAGCCTTCCCATTGCTATAGGACAGGTGGAGGACCAGAGGGCTGGAGTGAGGGGAAGCTCTGGCACCGTGTCTTTGTGCTGACTCTGTTGAAGGGAAGCAATGAGAAGAAGGTCAAAAGCACAGGCCCACTGTGAAGAGGCAAATCTTGGGTTTCCAGGAAGAACCAAGGCAATCTCCAGCTCTGTACTTCTTGCACTGCAGAACATAACTCACCAGGCTCTCATCTGGTCTTTCGTTCTCCAAATATTAGCTTCGTGTAGCTGCTCTGTGCTAGGACTCCAGGTGACTAAGAAAAAAAATAGTAGCTACCCTGCCTTTAGCTCCTCTCAGTGGGGGCATTCTCCCAGGTCCCCAAGCGCACTCTGCATGGCTATGTAGACAGTACTGGTGCAACTTCAGGGGGAGTCTCAGATGCAAGTAGCACTCCCTGGAAGTGTGCACTGAGGCAGCTCTGGTGTCTGGCTTACCCTGGTTGAGATGACTCTCCTTACTGCCGCAGAACCTACGTCCTAGCCGGGATGCCCCATGTGTGGCATTTGTGTGTCCTTGTGTTTGCTCCCCTCTAGTGTGAGCCCAGTCACAGGCATGGAAGTCAGTGCAGAAGCCAGGCTTGCCCTCACAGGGACAGACACAAGCTCTCACAGGATAGACCCTTCCCTAAAACTCCTGGCCTGATGCTGCTACGCCTTCCAGCCCCTCATTCCTCTCTGAGGCCACCTGCCATCTTGTACCCCATTAGAGATATATGGCTTCTGCATTATCTCTTCTACGAGTACTATCTCTTTTTTCTTTATACACAAACTCCCCATATAAACTTCCTATTGTTGCTAAAACAAATCACTACAAATCGAGTGGCTTACAACAACACAGATTTTATCTTACAAGTTCTGAGATCACAAGTCAGAAATGGTCTCACTGAGGTAAAATCAAGTTGTCTACAGGGCTGTGTTCCCTCTGGAGGCTGTAGGGGAGAGTCTGTCTTTTTGCATCTTCCAGCTTTTAGGAAACTATTCCTGGCCCTGTGGCCCCACCCAATAATGACAACACTCTGACCTCTTTTTCCCTTGTCACATCTCCTTCTCTGACTCTAAACCTCCTGCCTTCCTCTTATAAGACCATTGTAATTACATTTGTAGCCCACCCAAATAATCCACCTCAAAATCCTAAATTTAATCAAACCTGCAAAATCCCCTTTATTAATATGTTCTGAGAATTGGGACGGGGACATCTTTGGGGACCCTTTTTCCTACCTGCTATACTTCCCAAGGGCTTCATAGCATTTAGTCACCCATGTTCCCTGAGTATCAATCATTTATAGCTTACTGGACTAAGTGCTGGGAATATAGGGCTCAATAAGCCAGGAGTATTAGAAAGGACCCCACGAGCAAAGATTGGGTGATTTATCCTGTGTTTGTGTGGTGTGTATGGACTGTACAGCCTTATTCAAGAAGGAAAAAATGAAAAACAGGAGATTTTAAAGAAAAATCTGGATATTTTGCCTTCCCTAGAAAAACCATATGTCAGGGCACCCCAGGGACACATTCATTCCCACAGCATCACAACCATCCATCCACGAGGTGTGGATGCTCTGACCACACCTCCAGCCCCACCAGCTGCTTTCTGGCTCCCTGTAACTCAATGACTCCTAAAAGTGTTTGGGTTCGGGCACTCCAGTATGGGGACAAAAAGGGTAGAGTGGGGGTTACCAAGATATTTACTATGGAACCAAATGAAAATATTAGGATTTCTGGGGTTGGTGTATCTTAAAAAATAAGAACTAAAGATTTTTTTCATCTCTAATTTACAGACTGCCTGGCATCCTGCCTCAGTTAGCATGTGAGATAGCCACAAGTCTCACCTGCTTGGCGTACAAGTCTCCCCAGGGACGGCTGAGAGTCAAGCAGAACACTTGACCATGGTGCCCTTGCTCTCCCCACCCAGTGATATACCATACCAGTTTTCCTGCCAAGCTGTGTTTACTCCATTATCACACTGTAACCAAACAAGTTCTCACAAACAGGATTAGGTATTTAAGAAATTCCCGCAAACAGACCATCAGTTAAATATACATGAATAATGTACGGACCCGTAATGCAAAGGAACGAACATCACGGTGCTTCTCTCTCTCTCTCTCTCTCTCTCTTTTTTTTTTACTAAATCATAGCTGAGTACATTAATGCAGTCATGGGGTACCATGTGCTGTTTTTATATACAATTTGAAATATTTTCATCAAACTGGTTAACATAGCCTTCATGCCATTTTCTTAGTTATTGTGTTAAGACATTTATATTCTACATTTAGAAAGTTTCACATGTACTCTTACAAGATGAACCATAGGCGTGATCCCACCAATCACCCTCTCTCCACCCATCCTCCCGCCCTATTGGGCTATACCCAGTGCTTCTCTTCCTACACTAGCTCTTCATCAGTGTTGTTAGAAGGTAACAGCAATAATATACTAAGGAGATGTGATATGAAGGTAGCCGAAAATTAGAAATTATTGAACTATTGATTGGGTCTAGCAGTAAGTGTACCCTGTAACTTGAGAAAGTGGCTAGCAACAGTACTGATACGTGACTGACAAACAGATGCTGAAGGTGTACGTTAAGGGTATTTTTACTGAGACATTATCTTTTCACTAGACAAAGGTGGCTTCCCATGATGGTAAGATTTGCCATCCTTAGAGTATATCATCCTGTGTTCTTCAAGGACTGAGATCAGAGCTCACCTAAGTCTTTGTCAATTAGATTCCTCAAGGCAACAGGCTGAATCACCAAAGGAGATAAGGAAGAAACCTAAAATTAGATCACGCATCTGGCTACTCAAGAAAATATTCTTCCAGGTACCCCAAAGTAGATTTTGGTAAGACTCTGGTATTCAATATTTGTCAGGAGATCAGAGTCAAGGATGAAAAAGAGCATATATGTTAAAGTCCATGCTATGGAATTCTTTACTTAATAAGCCTCCTTTATCCATATTCTTCACCCCTTAATTGATCTCTAACCCACTGGCTCTTACCCAAGTTAACTGCACAGATGGGGAAGGAAGAAGGGTAACAAGTAGGAAAGGACAGAAATTAGTATTTACTGAGTGGCTCTCAGGCTGCTGGGCGGCCTTACAGAGTATTTTATACAAGCCTCTCAAGAAACTATTGTCATCTTAATTCTACAGAGGCAAAATAGAGACCCGGAGAAGTAAAATAACGTCCCCAGGGTCACTCTGAGAACATATGATGGAATTCTGATTGAAGATGGAATCCATATGACTTCGAAGCTACAGGCTTCCCATCAGCTCCCACGGACCACTTGAACACTGGCTCCTGGCCCATCTCTACCCAGTCCTCCAGCAACCTTCACTGCCCTCTCACATCTCTCGCTCAAAGCAGTACTCACAGCAGCCCCAGACCTCCAGCTTCCTGTCCAATCCACCCTGGGACCCAGGCAGGAATGGGGCAGAGCAAGATCCAGGAGAGGAGGAGGAAGATGAGGAAGGCTCAGAGCTGGGAAGAGAGCCCGCCCTACCTGCCCCACCCCCACCTGACAAGGAAAAGCGAGATCCATCCCTCCTGCCCCTGCGGGTCATCTCGGGTCATCTCGTGGTCCGGACAGAAACCAGCAGGCATCAGAGGCAGCAATGACACTATGCCTGAAATGAAGTAAACAAGACTTCAGAATTTAATCCTAGTGCTACAGCGATACAAGCCTTTGATTTAAAATGTGTTCTCCAAAAATGTCTGGAAGGGAATCTTTTACTGAACTGAATTCCATTCCCAAAAGCCGTGAAGGGCTTGAAGGCCCAAGTACAGCGCTTTAGGGCAAGTCTAAACAATGACGTTATTAGCAACCTGTAGTCTCCGAAGAGTGCCATAGAAATGTGAAGCACTTCTACCTAACTGGGCCCAGAAAATTTAAGCTTTGTGGAAAGACTTAGGGGACAATGGGGTTGTGACCAAAGAAATCCCACGGTGAGTTTACGGCCCCCAAAGCCCCCGAGTAACTGCGCGAGGCTGGGTGAGCGGCAGAGCTAAAGGGACCAGAAGGGGAGACAGCAGGAATCACCCATTCCGCCGGCGCAGGTCGACTTCAGAACTCCAAATCCTCCGGGAGGACGGCGCGGAGGGGAGGGACCCGCCCGGCCGCACGGAGCCCCCTGCGCAGGGCGGAGCAGTCTCCTCCCCCGGACCCCGGCTCAGGAATGCTCGGCCTCGGGGTTGAAGTCGCCGACGCAGCGGGACAAGCCCGACTGTGGAAGGGCACCCCCTGCACTTCGCCTCCTCCCTCGTCGCCCACTCTCCGAGCGCGCGGTCGGCCGGCGAAGGGACGGGGAGGGGAAGTTTGGGGCGCGTACCTCCCTGTGCCCGGCAGAACTCCAGACAGGCGAAGAGCAGGACGAGGTAGCCGGGCCCGAGCCGCCTCATGCCGCTGCGCTAACACCGCGCCCCGCGCTCACTCCCGGGAAGCAGCCGCGCTACCTGCCTGGACCCGATCGGGCGGGGAGAGCCTTTTACAACCTGCCGCTGCCTCGCCGGCCCTCGTGCCTTCCTCCTGCCCCAAGGACGTGGCCCCCACCCGGCCAGGGCGAAATCCACAGGTAAGTTAAGCATGTGTGTGTGCAGCAGGTGATAATGACAGATTTCCAATGAGGACAGCAGAAGCTAATAGGACGGAGAAGCATTCCTGGGAGAGTTGGGAAAGAGGTAGCCTGTTCCCTGACTAGGGTGAGCTCCTGAAGGTTAGAGGCAGTGCCTGAGCATAGGCATCTGTAAATGTGTCCTGTGAGTAAGAGTGGAAGGAAGGAAGACGAATAATTTCTTCTCAAATGTGAGCCTTATTTCTGTTTCCTGTAAAGCACAGTCCCCAAATTGTCTTACTGATATATATATATATATGTATGTATGTATTTTTTTTTTTTTACTGTCAGAAGAATTGATCAAGACCCAAGCATCATGGGTAGTGGACATTAATCCCTCATTTTTGGCACAGATTACTGATCATAGAGAGGAAAGGCCTCCACTCTTTACCAGCTTCTGGTAAAAACTGAGTTACGCAGGACCTGAGGACATGGGCTGACTGAGAGGAGCCAAGAACTTTCTGGAATCATCTCCTCCAGACAGCATTTCTTCCGTTATTGGTGCTTATCAAAGTGCCAATACATGATCCACAAGGACAATCAATGCTAGTGATATTTCGTTCCCAGTAAAACTAACGACTTGATTTCACCTTTATTTCCTTTTTATTTGGGTATTTGGCGGGGTGGGGTGGAGGTGTTCTGTAATGAAGTGCTTTTTAAGCACAGATCAAATTTTGACCTTTCTTCAGCAGATGATATGTGAGATCACTGTTTTGCTTCCAAGCCAACAAGTGAGGTCTACCCAGAAGCCTTCCTCTCTCCTGGGAACCGTGCTCTTTCTTCAGAGGAATTGCTCTCTACTCCTGTGCCCACCCTGTGTTGAAAATGGAAGTTGATATCACATCCAGGCCACAGTGGAAGGTCTGGGAGTGGGCTTTTGACCCCACCCCCGGAGGGGGGGCAATCAATTACAATTTGAAGACTTTTAGGGAAGGTTTCTAGGGAAGAGGGCTTGCTCCTGGAGGTATAGGTAGCAAAACCCTCTGCCTTTTCAAAGAAGCTAGCCTCCAGTAAGAAGACAGAGGATTTAAAGAAGATTTGCACAAGATTCTATGTGTCACTGCTGGTTTGAAGATAAAGGGAGATGTGAGAAATTGAGTGCCCTCTAGGAATGATAATCAGGCCGGGCCTGACAGCTAGTAAGGAAACAGTTGATCTCAGACCTATGACAAGGAACTAGATTCTGCTACCTAGGAAATGGATTCTTACCTTGAATTTTATGACTGATACCTTTGATTTTGACCTTGTGAGACCTTAAGCAGAACACTGAGCTGAAGCCTGGGTTTTTCACTGTGAGATAATAAATGGGTGTGGTTTTGTCCATGAGATGATAAATGGCTGTATGTTTATTTTCTTATGCATCAATAGAAAACTTTGTAGTCATCTGCAACTCCATAAGTGATGTGAGAGAAATTAGCTCAGTAATTTAAATCTGATTATTTTATACTTATAGGAAGAAATCCAGGGAAAATAAATTCAGCTTGCTATTCTTCCAGAGGCTAAATAAAGATGTATTTGGTGATTGAAGTGGGGGAGAAAAAAAAAGAAGAAGAAAAAGAATATTACAGCATGGGCCTGGGATGTATCATCTCCATTTATCCCTGAAGCTAGGTGTACTTTTATCTTTTATGAGATTTGGTTACATGAATCAAGTCCACTTTTAACCTAAGCTAACTCAAGGTTGGGTTCTATTACTTATAACCAAAAGAACCCTATCAACTTTCATCCAAGCATATCTTACTAGCTATGGTTTGTGTTCAGCGGGCTATAAATTTGCAAGTCCTAAGATGAAGAGCTGACTTCCAGCTAGCAGATGATGGACTCTAGCATGAGTGTCAAGAACACTGTCTGTCCTTGGCTGAGGTTCCCTTGGCACTCATGCTGCTTTGCAAACTGACGTTCTCCTGCAAGTGCCTGCAGCTCTCTACATGAAGCCTTACTCTGGGTACAGGAACACACTTTGCCCTTGTATGTGAAAGGCGGGCAGATGTGGGTGCTCACAATCAATGATGGAAGGGAGTTGGTAGACAAATATCCAAAATCCGTTGCCTTGGGAGAGTCTATCTCATTTTCATACATCAATGCTCACTGAGGTCACAGCCATTGCATCAAAGAGCTTGGATTAAATTCAAACATGTGTTAACAATCTAGGGGCAGGGTAGGTTCCACGAGGATTCTTAGCATTCCTGGACAAGCTCCTTAATGTGGCAAATACACATCCTGGGTCTACATGAATTACTTATTTATGTACCATGACATCTGGTATTGATTGGAGTGGGGAAAAAAAAATAAGAAAATAAGATTTGCACATGGGCCTGAGATATAGCATCTCCATTCATCCCTGAATCCACTAGCCAGCAAGGGTGAGACAACTCCAAAGTGATTTCCTAACAGTCTCCTACCTACTATCAGTAACCTAGTTAAGCCTCCTACCTACTGTCAGTAACCTACTTAACAGTCTCCTACCTACCATCAGTAATCTCTTCCCCATATTCAGTCACAAAACTAAAATATGCTGGGATTGCAAAGAGCTTTGAGATTGAGCCAAAAGCGCCCACATTGTGGTTAAGAACCTGTCTGCTGAGTTTGTATCCCAGACTTATTTTAGTCCTCCAGGCAAGTTCCTTAGCCACGTTGGGCTTTAATACTACCCCTGCCGCATTGTTTCCTATCTGCAGTATGGGCATAATGATAGTTTCTACCCCCCATGGTTGTTGTGAGGACTAGTTAAGATGTTTTGATATTCCAAAATGAAACTAACAGGGTAGAAGTATCCCAACCCCCTCATTTTATACAACTCCCTCCTCTCTGGGTTACAAGGACAGTCACAGCACTTCTTTAACTCCAAACTAAATTAGAACAATATTTCAGAGTAGCTTGAAGGGCCTACCTAGAAGTCCCCAGGTCCCTGACCAGGACAGTAAAAGCTGCCTAGCCTCGCTGTACTCACCCCCATCTTCTAGTTCCTTTGTGTGCTCTTCCTTCTGCCATCAAGTGCTACGAGCTTCCGCAGTGTAGTCTAACCAACAAGCAAGAAATGAGTAATCAGCTGACTGATGAACATCTAAAAGGGGAACTAGACAAAAAGCATCAGATTTTTCAGGCTCCACACAAACCTGTTACTCTCAACCACCATGATCTCCTACATGTATGGCTTGGCATAAGCTAAACACAAACTGCTTCTCTGCTTTTTCCCCCTTATTATGTAGAGATTATACCAAATCTCTACAGTCCTTTCAGTCTTAGCATTATAAACAAGTGGAAAGTATCTCCATGAGGAATATGAGTTAATAAGCACAGAAGCTGGCCCTACTCTGGGATGAATATGTCCTACCAAAAGCACGGGAGGCAAAACTTTTGACAAAAATCTGCCTGGGGCTGAGAGGTCAGTTCAACTCAGGTTGATCCAGGCATGCAGAATTTTTCTTGACAGGCTCAGGTATCCACATAAATATAAAAGCACAGGCAACATAGAATAAGATTCTATGTCTCCCAAATGGGTCTCTACTCAAATGTCACCTCTAGCTAAGAACAGAGGCTTGGTGCCTTCAAAGACCTGAATCCTAGCTTGGAATAGTACTAAATAAGTGACATTGGTATGTGTCCTTGGGCAAATCACTCAAATGTCCCAATTGTTTCCTATTGGGTAAAATGAAGATAACCATGCTGATACCATAGGCAGGTTGGGTGAGTTATAGGACTCATAAGAACTAAGTATTGAACATGGTGCCTGGCTCATGCTAAAAACTCATCAGGAACTATAATTATGCCCAGGATCCCAGTTACATCATGGCCTTTCTCTGTCAGCCTTTGGGTTTCCCTGGCTAGACACACACTCTTGAGAAAAAGTTATCTCTTATCTTTTCGTCATGATGCAGGACTGTTTCATTTTCCTCCTACAGACTTAGCCATATGTACCACATGTTGAAGATGACCCATATGATCCATCTTAGTAATCTCCAGCATCTTCCAACTTTTCACAGTACTGAGAATATTCTTGGGGTTGAAGTCTCCTGGACCAGGTGGTTGGAAGTTGTTGCTCTGATCATAGATGTGTGACAAGGGTGTGTCACCTAGGGTATGTGTCACCTAGGGTGTCACCTAGGGTATATGTCACCTAGGGTGTCACCTAGGGTATGTGTCACATACCCTGCACCAACCTCAGCCTTCTCCCCTGTAAGATGAAAAAGATGGATTAAGTGATCTCTAAACTCTTGTAAGGATTAGCATTTTATAATTCTAATTGGTTATCATTGGCGTCAGGACAGCTCCACTATTTAATAGAACATTGTTAAGTAGTACACAGGGAAACTTGAGATGTTTGAATTTCCTTACACAAACTAAGGTGGCAATTGCTAATTATCATGGCGCTTTTAATTTAGAAAAATCACTCAAAGTGTCAGAAAGAGAAAACTAGAAATTATCTCCCTATAGGGCCCACCACTTACTTTTCTTCTTTAAATTAGTTTAACCTTATGAAATGCATCAGAGATGGAATGTGGTCTCTAGCCAATATTCATGGCAATGAAGAGGCCTCTAGAACAACAAGAAATTAAGATATTCACTTGTTCAGGAATACCTATTGTTTATGGTGACTCTAAGAATGTTACTTCATATTCCATGTTTAGAAACTTGACCTATGACTTGGCATAAGCTAAACACAAATACAGGTGGAGCTTCTCTCAGGATGGGAAAGCTCCACCTTCATCAGGGCGGACCCCACTCTAATGATAAAGGACTATTTAACTTTCCTCCTATAGACTTAGCTATATGTACTGTTACACAGTT